CTCTCTCTCTCTCTCTCTCTCTCTCTCTCTCTCTCTCTCTCTCTCTGAACGATTCTGGTCTTGGTTTTTTTGCTTGTTTTTTCCATTTGGTAAAAAACCCAACGAGAAAATAAGTGGATTTTGGAAAAGTTTTCCGAAAAAAAAACTAGAATATCGTGAGACTGGAATTTCATTAGAAAATCGCCAAAACTATGTGATTATGTAATCTATCATTGACGCACAAAACCCTAAACAAAACATTATTATAAAATGATTAAACAATGTATTTTCACTGGTTGAGTGGAAATAGAAGATGAAAAATGGATGGCCATCTACCAAAATCTACCAGTGGGCACGCACATCATGAGAAATTTCCCATAATTTTTTTTTTGTAGTGACCAAAATATTCTTTGAAACAAAAAATTATTATTCAAATTTGATGATGATGGATTTATCATTGATGTAATCTAGCGGGGGGAAGACAAAAAACTTTCATATAGCCGTTATAAGGGGGGAAGAAAGAAGAAAGTTTCAAGTTTCAAAATTTTTGAAAAACAAACAAGCCACCAATATATCAATGACAACAACAAAATCCTGGCATTGAATTCATTGCGAGAAACAAAAAAAACAAAAAAATTAGTTTAAAATTTTTAAACCAAAAGAAAAATAAAATGAAACAGACAGGCAATCAATAATGAATTTATCAAACACAAAAATTATGTTTCTGGCACATTTTTCTGATTTGATTTGTCTCGGAGAGAGAGAGAGAGAGAGAGAGAGAGAGAGAGAGAGAGAGAGAAACGAAAACGCAGAAATCATCATCATTAATTATGATAATTAAAATGACGTCGGCATACATATGATATTTTNAAACAGACAGGCAATCAATAATGAATTTATCAAACACAAAAATTATGTTTCTGGCACATTTTTTCTGATTTGATTTGTCTCGGAGAAAGAGAGAGAGAGAGAGAGAGAGAGAGAGAGAGAGAGAGAGAAACGAAAACGCAGAAATCATCATCATTAATTATGATAATTAAAATGACGTCGGCATACATATGATATTTTCTGTTTTTGTTTTTTTTTCATATTCCCCCAACTAACACTGCCATCCTCAAATCATCGTTGATAATGATGATGATGATGATCATAAGCCAAATATGAATGATAATAATTTATTCATATTGCAACATCAATCTATCAATCAAAATCTGTTTTTTTGTTCCGATTTTTTTTTTACTTCTTCTTTCCAGAGTTTGGGGAATTGGAGATATTGGCAAACACAAGCAAACAAAAACTCTATTATCTTGTCAAACATTTGTTATTATTCAGACAGAAAAACACAGAAAAAACAGAATGTCTGATTTTGGAAATTTTTTCTTCTTTCTCGCTGAAAAACAAACAAAAATTTCTTCTTTTCTATATTTGGGTCTGCCTTTGTCTTTGTCTTTGTCTTTGTCTGCGTTGATCTATATCAAACGATTTTTTTGAATGTCAAATCCGTTTGCATTGGATTTTCCCTTCAATAATCGTTATTCCTTTCATTTCCTTCCTGTCACTGTATACTTTCAAATCAGAATCATTGTTTTTTATTTATTTTTTTTCCCGAAAATATTCTTTGTTGCTATAGTTGTTTTTGGAAATTTTCCCAGAAAAAAGATTACTTTATATGACTTTATTGACGTTTTGAAAGCTTGAATGTTTTGAAAGCTTGAATGTTTTGAAAGCTTGAATGTTTTGAATGTTCTGAATGTTTATATTTGATAAAACAAATCATCACTATGATTATGATAAAAACACCGATTATCAAATGGCTATTTGTTTACCAATATCGATATCGATATCGATACTGTTTTCTTTTCTCTCTCTCTCTCTCTCTCTCTCTCTCTCTCTCTCTCGCTTTATCTATCTGTCGATATTTCCTTTGAAATCATCATCATTACGAGGATGTTTTCCTTTTTTTTCATTTTGTGATCAATCGGATTCACACGCACACACCATTGATGGATTCATTGAATTCATTCAATAAATCCCTAAATTAACTGGGTTATGACCAATATAATTTTTTATAAATCAATCAAACAACAACAACAAAACGAAAAAACTGGAAATTCAATCCTAAATCGATTTAAATCAACTGATCATCATCATCATCAACAAATTGAAATTGATTCGATTCGATTAAAGTTGATTTTATTTCTGTCGTCATTCTGCCTTTGTTGTTGTTTCGTTTCATCATCGCTTTCTCTCTCTCTTTTCATCGCAAAATCGATTGCTTTTCGTTTCGGAAAGGAAAAATTAATTAATTAATTTTTGTTTCTGTCGTCGCTATCTCAAACCCAGGAATCGCCAAAGTGTTAAAATTCTTTGAAAAAAGGGAGAAAAAACATGGAAAAATCATCCGAATCATCAACATCATCAACTTCAGATCCATTATCATCAACGACAACAACAGCGAATCTTGTGATTCCAATCGATACGCAACAACAACAACAACATTATAATCATAATCATGATCAAATAAAAGAGGAAAAATTAAAAAAACGACCACCATTATATGAACGGGAAATATCTGAATTAAGTTTACAATTTCGACAATTTTTATTTGATAATTATTTTTTTAGAAATTTATTTTATGCTATAATATTTGTTTTATATAATTTATATTTGGGTTATGCAATACATAAATCATGGTTTAAGGTAAGTTTTTTTGGTAAATTACAAATTTGTAAATTGATAATTTCTTTTAATTTTATAATAATTTTATAATCTTTTTTCCTGGTTCATAGACTGAAAGTTATTGTGATGGTGTAAAATTATTAACAATAATAACAACGATAGTTTATTTAAAATTATTTACAAAACTATTTATCCAACCATATTTATGGCCAATAATTTATAAATTATTCAATCGTTTAAATGAAAAATTTATTTCCGATTCATTTCGTCAAACAATTCGTTATTTATGTTGGTTATCAACATTATCAACAATCGCCATTATAATTGGTTATCGTTGTTATAAACAACCGGAAAGAATTTATTCTGTTGCCGGTTATTTTGGTTTTATTTTAATCGGTTTTATTGGTTCGGTAATTATTTTGAATAACCGAAATATCTTTTTTTTTCGATGTTCTGATTGTTGATTTTTTCCTATTTTCCATCATCGTAGAAACATCGTAAACATATCAATTGGAATCAAATATTATGGGGTTTTACCGTACAAATATTATTCGGAATATTCGTGTTACAAACAAGAATTGGACGATTATTATTTCAATGTATTGGTGATAAGATAAATACATTTTTATCATATACAAAATCTGGTACCGAAATGGTATTCGGTTATCTTGTTAACGGTCAATTACAAGGTACAATGGCTGGAAATTATACATTAATAATTGGTGGTGGTGGTGGTGGTCAGGAAATGAATGATTTACAAGTACGATTACCATCATTACCATTGATGATACAAAGTTCAATATTTGCTTTGTCCGGTATGCCTGTCATAATATTTTTCAGTTTTTTCGTATCAATACTTTATTATTATGGTATAATGCAAATTATTGTTAATAAATTTGGTAAAATATTACAAATAACAATCGGTACAACTGCTTGTGAATCAATATCAGCATCGGGTAATATTTTTCTTGGAATGGTAATTTCTATTTTCAAAAATCAAAAATCACACAAAAATCTCATTTGAATTTTCACTTTCTTTTTTTTAACCCCATCATCATTTTCAAAAAAGTGTGAAAGTCCATTATTAATCAAACCATTTTTACCATCAATGACAAAATCTGAATTACATGCAGTTATGTCTGGTGGTTTTGCTACAATTGCCGGATCGGTTATGGCTGCTTATATTAGTTTTGGTGTAAGTTTTTTTTTTGTTTTGGACAAATTTTTGTAAAATATTTTCCCCACCATCACCACCATAGATATCAGCAACACATTTATTATCGGCTAGTGTTATGGCAGCACCGGCTGCATTAGCATTATCAAAATTATTCTATCCAGAAACGGAACAATCCAAAACAACCGTTAATGATATTCATTTGGAAAAAGGGTATGTAATTGAGTTTTGTGACCAAAACAGAATAGGGAAACAAATCCTTCAAATCAAATCAACGATTTTAACTTTTTAACAAAAAAAATTGAAAAGCAAAAAAGGTTTTCTTCCTCCCAAAAAGCATGTTGACAATTCAATCATTTCACTTGATTCGATTTGGAATTAGATTTTCCATTCTTTTCTTTTGTTGTTGAAAAAGCCATTTCAACAACAACAACAAATCTTTTAAAAAAAATCGAAATTGACAGAAGAAAAAATTCAACAAAATAATGTTTTAAAATATTGTTGCAAAAAAATCTTCTCACACACACATATTCAAAGCCCATCATGGGATTCAAAGAGTTAAATCTTTTTTTTTCTATTTTTTTCGATTGATTCGAAATGATAAATAACTTTTTTGATTCAATGAATCAAAATAGATATAATTCGATTAAATTTCACTCCAATATTTGATCAAATCAAACGTTTTTTATGCACTTTAAAAAAAAAAAAATAAATAATCCATTCGGATGATCGATCTGTTCAATCGATTGTAAAAAAAGGAGAGAGAAAAAAAATGAAAAGTTCAAATATTTAGGAAGGAAAAAGTTAAGAAAAATCTTCAATTTCAAATTCTGTTACTGATTCTGTAGGATTCTGGAGGATTCTCGATTCTTTCATAATTGACAGTTAATTTTATGCTCAATTGATGAATCATTTTACCTTCATAAGAATTGAACTCAGCAATAATTTTTTGTTTGTTGTTTTTCAAATAGCCCAGAAAGAAGCGCCATTGAAGCCGGATCAAATGGAGCCATTTCAGCTGTCAGGTAAATTTTTTTAATAAAAATTTTCATCAAAAATCAATAATTTTAACTAAATCAAAATCAAAATCATCCAAAATCAACCAAATCGACTAAAATCAACTAAAATCAACCAAAATCACCCAAATCAACCAAAATCAACCAAATCAACCTAAATCAACCAAAATCAACCTAAATCAACCAAAATCAACTAAATGGCCTGAAATTACCAGTCTTGTAGCAAGCATTTTGGCCAATCTAATTGCATTTGTTTCATTTTTAACATTTTTGGATGCTGTTATTGAATATTTTGGCAAAATGATTGATATTGAATTAAGTTTTAAGGTAATCGAACGAAAAAAAATATTGATTTTCAAACAACAATTTCCCATTATTTCCCCTTATTTCCCATTATTTTCCATTATCCTTTTGTCGATTTTTGCTGATTGCTACAAAAATCGATTAATAATTAATTAGATTTGCCTGGTTTAATTACCGATTGACACTAATTAACTATTCTGTTCTATTCTCTTTTTGTTAGATGATTTTATCCAAATTATTCATACCAATTGCAATGATGTTAGGTGTTGAATGGTCGGATGCTGAATCAATTGCCGGCCTAATCGGTATGAAAATGTTTATCAATGAATTTGTTGCATATCAACAATTATCTGAATATATTGCCATCGGTTCTATAACGGTAAATTATTGTTTTGTTTTGTTTTTGTTTTTGTTTATCGATTCTCTTCGATTTTTCGTTTATCTGTACTTTTGTTGTTGTTGTTGTTTACTGGAAAAAAAATTTCCGGTTAGAAACAAACAAACAGACACTCGATTTACTTTGCTTGGCACCATATAATTAATTGTTTTTCGTCGTTTAACCCCCCCCCTTTCCACTATTTTCTCCAAAATTATTATTATTATTAGAATCGTTCACAAACAATAGCTACATTCGCTCTGTGTGGTTTTGCAAATTTAAGCTCAATCGGTATACAAGTTGGTTCATTAAGTACATTAGCACCATCAAGATCATCTGATTTAGCTGAATTAGCATTTCGTGCAATGTTAACTGGATCGATTGCCTGTTTTACAACTGCTTGTGTTGCCGGTATGTTAATCTAATCATCAACATTGAATCATCGTCATCGTCATCATCACGAATCTACCATCGTCATTCCCATTATCAAATTATTATTTAGAAATATTAATCGACAACATAACAATGTGTTTAACACTTTGTGCCTTTGAGGGTGTGCGTCTGTGTTTTTTTTTCTCACTAAATCAATTTTCTTCGAAACAAAAAAAAACACATTTAATCAATTTTAATGTAATCAATTTTCTATTTTTACTTTTAATTTTTCAATTTCTTTTTTTTTCGTGTATTACAAAATAATAATAATCATATTTTTTCAATGTTTTGTTTCTGTGTGTGTCGACATACAAAAAAGAAAGAAAGAAAGACTAGATATACATTGTGAATGATCAAGTCATGATGATGTCAAAATCAAATTCTCAATAGCTGATAGGCAGAAAAAGAAAAGAATAAAAATTCTTCATTGATATAGAGAAGACGCTGTGATGATGAAAGAATCCGATTGTTGATTTATTCCCCCCGTAAGGATTGTCAATTCCATTCCATTGTTTTTCATTGTTGTTATTGATGAATGAATGAATGAATTTTTTTCCATCTAATCAACATGTTGAACAATATTCAATTCATTTTGCCAAAGGCCACATGGTTTACGAAATTCTTGGCCAATTTCATGTNTGTGTGGTTTTGCAAATTTAAGCTCAATCGGTATACAAGTTGGTTCATTAAGTACATTAGCACCATCAAGATCATCTGATTTAGCTGAATTAGCATTTCGTGCAATGTTAACTGGATCGATTGCCTGTTTTACAACTGCCTGTGTTGCCGGTATGTTAATCTAATCAACATTGAATCATCGTCATCACGAATCTACCATCGTCATTCCCATTATCAAATTATTATTTAGAAAAATTAATCGACAACATAACAATGTTTAACACTTTGTGCGTCTGTTTTTTGTAATTTTATTTCAGTGTTTTTTCTCACTAAATCAATTTTCTTTTTCGGTCTTTCCATTCAATGATCGAAACAAAGCAAAACAAAAAAAAAATACATTCAATCAATTTTAATGTAATTTTCTATTTTTACTTTTAATTTTTCAATTTCTTTTTTTTCGTGTATTACAAAATAATAATCATTATTTTTTCAATGTTTTTGTTCGGTTTTCTTTGTCGACATACAAAAAAAAAGAAAGACTAGATATACATTGTGATCAAGTCATGATGATGATGTCAAAATCAAATTCTCAATAGCTGATAGGCAGAAAAAGAAGAAGAAAAATTCTTCATTGAGAAGACGCTGTGATGATGAAAGAATCCGATTGTTGAATTTATTCCCCGTAAGGATTGTCAATTCCATTCCATTGTTTTTCATTGTTGTTATTGATGAATGAATGAATCATCTAATCAACATGTTGAACAATATTCAATTCATTTTGCCAAAGGCCACATGGTTTACGAAATTCTTGGCCAATTTCATGTATCCATTTATTTGATACCCATTTTGAACCAACCAATACAGGACATGCTGCATGACGTGTTAATAGATCACCATCACCTGATTTATAAAGATTATACCAAAATGCTGCTGCATTTTTTCTTGGCCATAATGTAACACCTAAATGTGGAAATACTGTAGCACCACCAGCTTGTACATTGCTCATATAATTTAACCATGTTGCTATTCGATTACCCGTTCCTTTCAACAGAAAAAAATGATTATTTTCCCATAGAAATCCATTGAATACTTACCCAATGAATCAAATGCACGTGGTTCTTCACGACGTGCAAAATCATAATGTGGTTCATAATGACCACCAATACCATAATTAACAACTTGTAATTCTTCAGCTGTATCCATTTCCAAACCAGTGATTGCTTGAATACGACGTGAAATTTTATAAACAACTTCATGATCACGATTAGTTAGCCAAGCAGATTTCGAAATACGATACTTGGCTGTTTCTAATTTTCCGGTAAAATAATTCTGTACGGTTGCACGTTTCAATAATGGTTCAGCTAATCGTTGAACAACATTAATTTCATAATCCGACATAAAATCAATAAAAAGTACAATATTTGGTTGTTTATATGCTTCTTCAACTTTAATACGCCATAATCGTACATATTTATCCGATAATTTACTTGTATCCAAATAATAACATTTTAATCTGGAACGAATCGTTTCATGTATACGATTTTCACCACGACATAATGCTTCATATATATCACGTTCATTTTCTTCTGATGGCCATTTTGATTCACTAATTGCATTTTCATCCGGTACATCTGGATCATTTGTATCACCTTTTCGTATCCGTCGTAAACGATTACTAATATTTAATTCATTATCAAAAAATTCTAAATTTCCAAGTGCACGTTCATGATTTGGATTTAATGTCAATAAATCTACCGTATATTCATATGCATCTTGTAATGATCCAAGTTGATATGATGCAAATGCTAAATGTTCAATAATATTTACACGATCATTTGTTTGTTTATCAGCTGATGATATTCCATTATATTCTTCATCTAAACGACGTAATGCTTCTTTCATCCATAAAACAGTATGATGATAATCTTTTTGATGATATGCTTGACGGCCAAGTTCATAACAATCATTTGCTGTTAATGGCATCACTAATTTTGTTGCCGAATCAATTGAATTCATATCATTATTATCGACAATGTTACGTTTGTTATTATTGAGATCATTATAATCGATTGGATGTTGATTTTTTATCGATGGTATAACACCATTGGCTAACATTGTTGTATCCAAACGATATGTATCCTGTAAACGAAGTAATGCTTCAGCAGCACCTGTGCAATTACGAAACAATTTTTCAACATTTAGAAAACTTCAAATACAAAAAAAATCAACAATTACAAACCAGATAAATCTTCAGCCGATGGAAATGTTTCATTTTCATTTAATAAATGTATTAAATCTTTACGATCCGAATCGATCAGATATTCAACAAGATTCCAATCAGTTGTTAAACGTTTAACCAATAAATATGCATTAACTGGATTCGATAGATATGTTTGTACATCTTGATTAGCCAATAAATTTAATTTATTATAATGATATGCTAATTGTTTTAATGATTTTAAACGTTTTTCTTCATTATCCAGATAATCATTTAAATTTTTAACAATATTTTGTTCTGTTTTTAATAATTTTTCCAAATGTACTAATGCTGTATAATATTCTTGTTCACTTGGTTTGATTATCATCATCAATGTTACCATTATTATCATCATTATCATTGACAAAATTCTTATGTTCTGCTTAGTAGCCATATTTGGTTTCTGTTGAGAATTATTTGTATCACAAAATAATGAAAGATTGAATGGAAGATTGATTGATGGCAATACGAATCACACAACATTAAATAAAACCACGTTGCGACAATTTGTTGATGATCGAGGCTAGAAAGAAAGAAATGAAAGAAAAATTATTCAGTTTGTTTACATTATCAATTGGTCCATGTTTTCAGTGTTTTTGTAAAATGATAATGATTCAACCATATGTACCACTTCTTCGTTTTATCCATTAGACTCAATGATTTCCGTATGTGCGGTTTGGGTGGGTAATATGTGGTTAGTGTAAACAAAATAATCGTCTAATTTGGGCGAGTCTTCTCTGTGGTGTGGTGATGTGCTGCCAAAATCTTAATCATTAAATCATATGAGTGAAGCAAACGACCAAAAATCACTTTTGCAATTGTCAAATTGATATCAAATGTCAGTTGTGTTGATTTCATATGTTTGGGGAAATAATCATTTGACAACGGTCAATTGATTGTGACCATATGTGTGATTCAATTGAATCGAATAAACAAATGTGTAAAATTGGAAAATGGGGGGAGAAAAAAAGTTTTAAAAAAAAAATTACCGAATTAAAGTTGAAAAAGTTTCCGATTACCGTATCGGAATTCTTGGATGGATGATCATAGGTTTTTCACATTATTCGTAGATAATGAGAGAAACAAAAATGATGAGAAAGAATTTATCGATTCTGTCAACATCACAAGAATATTCAAAGAGTAAACAACCGAAATGCTCATACAAAAAAAATTCTTTATTAAAAATTCAACGGACAGATGGCAGACCATGTTCGGAATTTAGAATTTTTGAAATTCGAATGTTTGTTTTTTTTGCCAACAAAATTTTGAAAGATAACAAAGAGAGTTTCAAATTAACCTGGTTTTTATTTATCAAACAAACAAAAAACAAATGAGAAAAATATACACAAAAAAATAAAATAAATAACATAAACAGAAACAAACAAACTGAAAAAACACATAAAATTAATTACAAAAAATTCAAAATAATCAAAAATGAAATAATCACAAATTAGGAAAAGAGAAAAATCGATGATATCGAAGATTGAAGAAAATCTTTTTGATCGGTAAAAATTAATTACATAATAAGACAGGATTTTTTTGATGATATTTCACTATTACTACAGCTACTACTACTAAAATAATTATCATCACCACCACAACCACCACCACCAACGGATGATGATAAACCGGATAATATTGATAATGTTTTATGATGATGATTAAGATGATAACCACTATTCGAATCAATATCATCATCATCAACAACAGCGCCAATATTATTATTATTATTACTATTATTTCGTTTGGATGATTTCATTAACATCATTGATATGAATCCACGATTTTGTTGTTGTTGATTAGAATGCTGTTGTTGTTGTTGTTGATATAAATCTTGTTTACTTTTACATTTACGTAATTTAAATAATGAACGACGATTACGTTGTAAATGTGTTGATGAAATGGATGTTTTTAATTTGTTTGAATGGCCATTATTCGTAACTGCTGCAACCGATGTACTACCATTTGATGATTCAGAATTTGATAATAAATCATCACTATTAGAACAGCAACTATTTGTTGGTGATGGTATTGTCGATGTGGATGATGATGAAATGAAATTTTTTAAACCATAAAATGATGATGATGACATTGGTGATGTTGGTGATTGTTGTTGATCCACTATTGTCGTCTTCGGCGATTTCATCATCATCATCAACATCATCATTGATCGTAAATTATTCTGGTGATGAGGATGACCATTTTGACCACTTTGACCATTAACACTTTGACCGTTATTGAATGTTAATAATTTTCCATGTGCAATCAATGTTGCAACTTCGAATGCTTCACGTACCGATATTGGATTATATGAACTAGTTTCAACATAGGTTATTGCACCAATTTTTCTGGATATTTCGATTGCCTGAAAAAGATCAAAAATCAAAGATCAACAAAAAAAACATATTTTTTTAATTTTAAAATTTAATTTTTTTTTCTTAAAATGAAAAAAACATCGATATAGATATTTTATGATAATAAATATGATGTGTGTTTGTTTTGTGTGTTTCCACTATCGAACAATCGATTACAATCGATTACAATCGTTCATCACTTTCAAATTTATGATTTTGAATCTGAATTTATTGTTTTTTTCTTTTTTGTACATGATTTACGTTTACTACGTAATAATTTTACTGCTCTTGTTAATGATAATGATGAATCGCTTTTGGTTGATTGACGATCATTTACAACTCCACCTGCACCACCACCGGTAGCAGCATTACTTTTAGTATTTTTTGTTGATTTGTGTTCTTCAATCAATGATCGTATCATTTTGGTACGTTCTTCTATTACTGATTTTGGTAAAAGATTACCATTATTATCATCATTTACATTATTATTCGGTTGATTATTCGTTGTTGATGAAACATTTGGATCAATTTTCTGCTGCGGTTGTTGTTCATTTTTTAAATATTTTGAATAATCAACAAACGATGGTTGTGGATCCATAACCATTTGAATTTGTTGTTGTTGTTGTTGCGGTTGTTGTTGTTGTTGTTGTTGATCAATATGATTATTATTATCATTATTTGTACCACCACCACCACCAGTGTTATTATTATCATTACTTTTACTATTTTCTTCATCATCATTTTTATTCATTTTGGTCGCCATGATGATGATTGTTTTTCAGTTATTTTGTTGTTTTTTGAAATAGAAGAAACTTGGCTTGAAACACTTGATCCAAACGATGACGACGACGACGAAAAACGAAACTTTTAAATAATTTTCTAATAAAAATTACAAAAATCGATTCGATTTTTATATTTGAAAATTTTCATTCTTTGTTGACGTCATTCATTTACAAGGCGCAATAAAATTCGAATGAAATATTTTTAATTTCATTTTTTGAAAAGAATTTCGATTGTTTTAAAGATTTTTTTGTAATTTTTTTGTAATTTCATTTTTCTAAAAAATTTACAATTACCTCTTCAGTGTAAACAATTTTTCGTTTACAATCATTGATTAACGTCGTCGTTGCTGCTGCTGGTGTTTGTAAATTTTCTTGCTGATTATAAGATGATTCATAAACATGATACTGGTCTTGTTGTTGATGACGATGATCTGCATCAATGAAAAGTTGATCATTTTGACAACCAATCAATATGATTGGTATGTTTGATTTTTTGGAATATTTTCGTATCTCTGGATACCACTGTTGTTGGAGGGAAAAATGTCAATCAAAAGTCAGAAAATCAATCAAAAATATGCTTACCTTTTTCACAACATTATCCAATGAATACCAATCACCAAGATTGAAACAAATTAGGAAAATATTTGTTTCATCATAAACCAATGGTCTGACCGTATCGTATAAAGGTGAACCTTTATTATTGACAAACAAAAACAAAAGAAAAGAGAAAAACAACAACAATTAAAGCAAATCAATCAATCGAATAATTCTTCTCGAATAAGAATTTTTCTTGCAAATCGATAATTTTATTTCTGTTGTTGTTGTTTTTTTTCGTAAATTACGTAATTATTGTATACAATATCGATTCTTTTATGGAGGGTAATGGGGGTTAAATTTTCAGTTTAGAAAAAAAGAATAACCGTCATTTAGAAAAATGAAGAAAATAACCGGTGAAAAAAGTGATTTTCACTGGAATCGATTTGGAAAATAAAGTTTTTCTTTTTTTGTGATTTCTTTTTTTCTGGAAAAAAATGAAATTCATTATTCATTTTCAGATTGGAAAAATAAAGTTTCCATCATTCAAAAATGAAGAAATTTTTCAAAAAAATTCAACAAAAATTAATCAAACGAATGGTTAATCCATTCAAATTGCTTATAATCGAAATGATTCGATATCAAATTTTACCGTTTATCAATGTTGATCATGTAATTACAAAGGCAAAAACAACAACAACAACAACAACAAATCAACAACAACAACAGCAACAAACGAAAAAATTTCAATTAACAAAACAGATATTTTGGTTAATTTTTCTACCTTGTTTTATAAATTCTATACGTTTTATAGTTTGTATATTTGGATCAACAACAACAACAACAACTTATCAACAACAACAACAACAAGGGTTATTATTATGGCAACAGATATTTTTACCAATGTTTTTAAATGAATATAACCATCATATGTTACATTTAACCATATTGATTGGTTTTACATCACAAATTATTATGTGTAAGTTTTGCTAATTTTGTTGTAATTATAATCATCGTTATAAATTTTACTTATAATTATTTATAAATTACAGATTTAATATCGATACCAATATTATTGGATAATAAACGTAATTATTATCTATTCAAACCGATAAGAAAATTATATTGGATTTATGAAAAATCATTTAATCAACAACAACAGCGTAAACATGGTTATAATAAAAAATTTCATTATAACTGTAAATCACATTTCATATTTATAAAATTATCAATTTTTATTATAAAATCACTAGTAATTTGTTTATTGATTATAATTTCGATCAATTTTTATAATGATTATATTAATAACTATAATAATAATGATAATCTACCGTTATCAATTATAACATTCATAATATTTACAACATCGTTTTCCATTCAAACATTTAATGTATTTTTATTCGGTTTGTTTTGGATACAATTCATACAACAATCATTATTATTATTTAAACGTTATTATGATAAAATACAAAAAGATTTTCAACAACAAAAACGACAACAACAAAAACGACAACAACAACAACAAAAACGACAACAACAACAACAATTATCATCAGAAAAAATGATAATTCTCAAATTAAATCAAACAAACACATTGATAATGAATTACATTAAACAAATATCAATGTTAATACAAATATTTTATCATTTATTTTTATTTGCAAATGATTTATTAATTATAATTATAATTGATAATCGTACTAGTTATTTTTTACGTATATCAATTATATTTATAACAATAATTACAATTACAATTGCCTTGATAACATTTTTATTATTTATTCGATTGAATCATTATTCACATCGAATGATACCGATTGTTCAATCAATTATTTATAACGACGATAATTACAATTGTAATTCGCATCATTACAAGAATGATAATATTCATCAATCGATTTGTAAATTTAAAGCACAAGAAATATTACAACAATTTCAAACAAATATGATTGGTGTTTATTGTGGTAATTTATTTACATTTACAAATGAACGTATCGGTCATACTGCATTAACATTTGTAATTAATTGGTTTTTATTGGTAAAATTATTTAATAAATATTTACAATTTTAACAATGATCAGATAAGAATTGTTGTAGTTGTTGTTGTTGTTATCCTTGTTGTTGTTGTTGTTGTTGTTGTTGTTGTTGTTGTTTGAATTCAATTTTCAACAACAACAACAACAAATAGTTCATCAAAAACAAGCAAACGAACGACTTACCCGATGTATCCCAAATGTTTGTATGAAAATGATGGCCACCAATTTCAAATGTAGCCGTATATTTATCAAATCCGGTTGGAATATAAATCTGTAAAATGTGGGGAAAATGGGAGAAAGTGGAAAAATTGAAATGAAATGAAAAAAAAACATTGAAAGCAAGATGAAAAAAATGCAACGACTTTAATCAAGAAAAATGATGGCAAAGAACGAAAGTGGATGCAAAATTCAATTTTCCAGTCAACTTTCAAAATGAATTTTTTTTTTGGAAAATGAAAATTTAATCCACTTATGACACCCAACCAACCAAACACCATTATCATTGCAACTAACACTACCTACCATCATCCATCTTTTTCTATTTCAAAAATCTTTTCCCGCAAATGCAAAATATGGATGGTCAAAGAAAATATCAAAAGAGAATAAACTTACACCAGGCAATTGATTAGCAATAAAACGTTGTATCAATGATGTTTTTCCAACACGAACATCACCAACTAAAACAATTTTTATTGAATGTTGATGTTGATAATGATAATGTTGTTGTTGTTGTTGTTGATTTGTAGACGATGATAAAGATGATGATAATGATAATGAATCTGGAATCATTTTTCTATATTGAAAAGTAGAAAAAAGAAAAGAATAAAAAATTAATTTAAAATTTTAAACAGAATTTGTAAAAAAGGTTAAAATAGTCCAAATTTTTGGCTATTTCGACTTAATGGATTCAAATTATTTCCATTTCCAATGAAATTGTTAAATGAGATTTTCCTTGTTGTTGTTGTTTTCGTAAAGAATCTTATTTCCAATTTCATTCAGTTTTTTGTGGATGAATGAAATGATCCAAGTATGCGTTTGTGTTAATCGTGGATCAAGTTTTCAAGATTTCATCATCATCATTATGGATGACATGACAAAAGTTTTTTTTTTGCTTCAAACGAAAGAAAAATAAAAGAAAGAAACGAACGAACAACAAACAATTAACCCCATCCATTCACCCACGCTCACTTGAACAAACAAACAGACAGAATCTCAATGGAAAAAACTTAACAAGAGATAAAGTTATGCCAATCCATTAATTATGATGATCTCTATTCATACAACAACAACAACAAAAAATTCTGGTTTTTATTCCTGGATTCTTGGTTGCTTTTGTTTCCCAAAACCCGATGGGTTACGTGAATGCAATGAATTTCTTTTTAATCATTGAATTTTTTGCAAACTTTTTTCTTCTTGCTTTCACCATTGTATTTTGAAAATTTTTTCATTTTTTAAAAAGAAGAATTCCTTCCCCCATAAGCGCATACCATAAAACCATTAAGGCAAAAATCGTTGAGCAAAAAAATGAAAAAATGGCCATCGTTATCTTTGACTGACCAGAAAGAAATTCTCAAACACCCAGTGTGTGTGTGTGTGACACTAAAATCTAACGAAGCTTAAAGGGCAAACGAAAAAAGAAAAAAAATGAATTAAAGATTCTAGGTCCTAGAATCTAGAATTTATTGAATATTTATGATGATTTTGGAGAAAAGAGAAAAAAAATTTCTCAAATCCATTCAACATTTTTTTTCAAAAAAGAATTTTCCAAGAATTAACACAGAATGGATATTGATGTCTTTTTCTTTGAAAGAAAGAAAGACATCCCAAAAAAATGTATATTTTTTCCTATTTCAACAACAAGAACACACACATATCAAAATGGTCAAAATGGACATTTTTTTCAATTCGATATAATCGATATTGATGACAAGGATAAAAACGTTGCTGTCGTTTCGCTATCATTTACATCCGTCATGTCATTTTCATTTTCTTTTTTACACAGCAACCAAAAGCAAAGCAAAAACAGCTTGCAAAATGGCATTATTAGCATTATGAAAAAACAAAAGAAAAACCAAAAAAACAGAAAACCAAGATGACAATCAAAGAATTATTTCAATTACATCATTTCAATTATGGAATTGTGCAATTGAGAATTCTATATTGAAATCAATTAGAATCTTCAATCACTATTTCTACCCACCAATGGAACACTATATATACACTGTATATTCACGATTTTTTTTCAAATGTTAACTGTACAATTGAATGTCAACAACTGAGCAACTAACTGAATGAATGTTCAATTTCAACATTCAAGTACATAATTTATTGACGAACCAAACAAACAGAAATGTTTATGTCGAATGATTATGTTCACCATTTATCATTATTATTACACGAAGGAAAAGAAAATCCATCCATAAACTTTGGAACATCCATGATGATGATTGGGATATTGGGGATAAATGTTTGTTTTTTCTTTTCGTTTTTCATCGAAAATGAAAAAGGTTCTTATAAAAAAACGCAGCTTGACATCCCTAAACACACTGGAACACAGACAGGAACAAACGATTGACAAGTTTTTTTTTTGATTTAGAAGTGAAACAAACTCAGTGTTTATCTGAAGAAATAATCAAAACAAACCAAAAAAAAAACGAACAAATAAAGAGGATTCAAGAAGGAAGAAAATGAATTTGAATAAAGCGAGAGGAAAATCTTACAAAATGTGATTTGCTGTTGTTCCATCCTGTTACGAACAAAATTTACATTTGAATTTGGTTGCCACCACTGTGTGTTTGTGTTTACAAAACAAAACTTGAACGGAAAAAAAGTTAAGATTTTTGAAAAACGGAAAAACATTCGATGGTTATGTTTGTTTTGTATGACCCTTGTATCTGATTGAAATTTAAATTTTTTTTTTGTTCGTTGTTTTGATTCGAAAAAAAATTCAAATTTTTTCAGGTTTGTTTGTCGGTAAAACAAATAGATTCTTTGTATCTTTTTTTTTTTTTTTTGCTCAAAATGTTTTTGGATTAAGTTTTTTCTTCGTTTTTTTATATTTGCTAACAAAATAGAAAAAGAAACAAAGTGATTCTTCTTCTTCTCTCGGTTTTCCATTCACCAGAGAATTTATTCTGTCACACATTAGGGCTTAATGAATAAACACAGAGAGAATATTCATGGAATCATTTTCACCTCATTAAATCGAATGGGGTTAAACTAAAAAACTAAACTAAAATAAACTAAACAAACAAACAAAATCTTTGTCGTTTTCAATGAAACAAGAATAAATGTCTTTTAATCTTTAAGACGACAAGAATAAAAAGGGTTAATTAATTATTTTCATGTTTTCTTGTTTGTTTTGGGGATGCAAATTCCCAAAACGCAATTATTTTAGTGCAAGATTTACAACTAAATTGATAAAAAAAACACTGACTGCATCCATTTGATAAGGATGGGATGTTTATTTATTAATACATCAAATGCAGCAGAAGCAGCAGCAGCAGCAAAAAGCATCCATCACCAAAAAAAGTTTATTAAACTTTTTTGTTTTTATTAACACTTTACTATCATCATCATCATAATCAATTTTTATGATTGAAATTCATTCAAATAATAATTTGAATAATAAGTAATTAACACTCATGCACATACGAAGGAAGCAACAACAAAAAATTAATTCAAAGAATCCAACCAACAAATAGAGTGACTGTCATGTGCCAATATAACCCAGATAACAGAGAATGTTTATAGAATAATCTCATCATTCTATGAGTGAAAATGAATGAAGAATTTGCATTAATTTGTTTTTTTCCCGAAAAATCAAACACACAGAGAGAATCGAGAATTGGGAAGAGAGAGAGAGAGATATGAAGATATGAAGCTGACAAAAATGTAAATCTTTCAGAATTTGGGAAATAATTTCGGGAAATTTCCCCGGAAAATTACAAACAAACAACGAATCAAGCTGAAAACTTTTTTCCAAATTTTCCAAAAAATGATGACATCAGCAAAATTGGTTTGACCAAAAATGGATAAATTCAATTAAATTAGCCCAATTTTGAAACCAGAAAAAAGAAAAATTCAACAAAAAAACTGTCATCATCATCACAATTGACAATTACGTTCTTTTAACAATTTTCATATTCATATACAGAATATCTGTCAGTAAAATTTTTTAACAAAATTAAAAATTTTTAAAAAATTGAAAAATTTTCACTTTTTTTTCATTTAAATTGTTAATTAATTTTTCGATGAAAACTAAATAACAATCAAACAAAAAGTTTTTCTTGCAGAACCGAAAACGAAATAACCCTTCGAAAAACAACTGGGACATTTTTTTCAATTGGAACATTGGTTTTTTTCAGCCAAAAAAAATGATCAATCATTTTTTTACCAGGAAAAGCCAAAAATGACAAACGTAAAACAACGAAAACAAAAATGTTACAATTCAATTCGACAATAAAAAAAATCCTAATGATGAGGAGGATTGATTGCGAATGGCAAAAAACATCGATAAAATACAATAAAATCTTTATCAAATCAAATCAAAAACTTGCACTAAATACTTCCCTGTTTTCTTTTCTTTTTTTGTGGAACGTAGTGATGATACACACACACAAACAAAACATAAAAATTGAGACAAAGAGACCAACAACAACTATTGATTGTCTTGACAATCAAATCGATCAATCAATTAATTGAAAAAAAACACTGCTATCAATCGATCGATCGATCGATTGATTGTAATTTGAATTGATCAAAAAATGAAAAATTTGGACAAAGGGACAACACAGCGACAGAGAAAACTAATTCAATCAACCACCCAGACAATCGACAATCTACGATGACAACGATGATGATGATAACAAAATTTGATGATCATCATCATTAATGTGTGTGTGTTTTGTCGTTGTCGTGGTTAAATAATTTTTCGTTGATGATGATCATCATCGATGATAATGATGATGACAATTGTTAAATCAAATCTAATAATGATCAAGTGGATTCAAATCAAATATCTAGTTACTATCGATAGTATCGATAACAATCGATTGTTTTTTTTTCATTACAACTACATTATCATTTAATTAACCCGGTTAGTTGGAGAAGAGAAAATATGATTGACAAGTAAACAAATGGATAAACCAGGAACAAACTAAACTAAACTTGACTAACTAGAGATTAATCAATATTGATTAAGTTTAACAGAAAACAAAACAAAAATCAAGATAAGATTAGCAAAGAAATGAAATGAGGTTAATTTTTGTTTGCGACACTATTGAGTTAAAATAGTGATTCTAGATTTTATGATTACATAATCAACATTTACGAAACAAAACAAAAAATATGATATGTCAACAATAATTTTCGTCATCTTTTTCTACTGATGACACTACTACTGCTGTGGAAATAGAAAAAGAAGAAAATTTCCGGAAATAATCAGAAAAATTTCCAGAAAAAAAAACAAAAAGAATATATTTTTTTCAAATAATAATAAGAATTATTGATGATCGAGTGAATGGGCGGGTAGAAAATAGAATATATATTAGTGGGTGGGTGGAAATAGACCAATTCTTGATTCTTTGAATTCTGCAAAAAAAATAACTGACGTTTGTTTGTTTGATTTGATAATTATCTATCGAAAGTAGAAGAAAAACAGAAAAAAAACTAGAATTTCGATCAAGCATCCAATTTTCTTTTTTGCTATTTTCTTTTTGAACCAAGATGAAGATGCAATCAACCTCGAATAAAATTTTTGATAAATGACAAAATCACTGATCAATTTTGCAA